TTATATGCAGTCCCTAACAGCCTCTTCAGGGAAGAGCCCTGTTCGCCATATAAATCACAGTACCTTATATTTAGCAAGTGCATGATATAGATTAAATTTAACTAAATGTACAGATTAATTTCTTTTGCCTCTAATTTATGTCTGTGAATAATTATTTTCATTTCCCAGATGACCTCAGCGTTCCTATTGAGTTTTACCTTGTCTGTAAAAATGCTTTTCACAATTAGAATTTTTTTTACCTTTCTTTAGAACTGATACATGACCCCAGACAATTTGATATTTTACTGAAGTTAAATAAGGTTATTTCTAAATTTTTGTCTATGTCTGTAATCAAAATACTAAGTCATAAAGAACCCAGACTTTGTCCTGAGGTTTCTACAGATCCCTATGACTACTAAACCACTAGTTACTACTGGCAGGTTATGAACCTATAAGCAGTGGTTTGCAGATGTTCAGAGTGATTTGATCATTTGTCCATATTTTTTTATCTGTGATCTGACATCAAAGCTTTACTGAAGATCAAGTAGATGGTTCCATATTTCTCTCTTAAGCTTTATCACTCCATTATGAGAAGAAATTTAGATTGCCATGGCAAGGTTTCTTTTACATATATGTGGACAGCTCCACAAACATAAACATGTTTGCCTTCAGCACTGATAATGTGTTAGGCCTTTTAGATGACTTCCCAGTCAACAGCAGCAAATGGTGCTGTAGTCATTTCTGCCAATATTGTAAGAAGTCTCCGTTCTTGTCACCAAGTCATGCTTGTTTGAACACATCAAGAAGAGAGTACTCTTATTAAATGATGTATTGCCTATTTGGAACCTGTTTTTCTGTCCATGTGACAGATACTGTACTCTACAGTTAGCTGATCAAAGGAGACTTTTTAAAGACAGAGAGACACAAATGAGGAAAACTTTCAGCCTTATGTTCCTAGCTTTCCTTCACCATCGCACAAAGATGCCTATAGCTCCATCTGACTGACTCCGTCATTTTTTTTTTAGCAGTTATTTGAGATTTAGCTTCTCTGATTTTATTTCTTTAAAATTTTCATTTTCCTACGTTCTTTATTATTTAATTTGCCTCTCAATTTCTGGTGCTTTATTTCAGTTGCCTTCAATTTCTTGTTATCCCCTTCTGTATACTGGAACAGTTAACCCTCAGTTGATTAAAGTGATTAAAAAGAAAGAGACCCAGATAACTCAAAACTAATTTGTTTGACTTTGGATTTTGAGATGATTTTGTAACAGATTTGCGTTCCCACTTGGGTTTTATTTAAGCTGCTATTGTGATCAGTTGACATTCCTCAGGCATGTACCAGCTGGCTAATGGAATGAACAGGCAGGCCTGGGGAAGCTGGGCTAGGATGGAAAACTGGCTGGAGATAATACACACATGGATCATTGAAAATTGATTGTGGTTTGCTCCTGTGCCCAGAAAACCTTCTGCTTAATGACCCAGCTCTCTTGGGTCTCCATGGAACTTAGTACAGTATTCTAATATAATTAATTGGTTTTACAAAGAAACCTTCAAGATATTGAAAAGAATCAAGTATAAAAAGTAGCATACCAAGCACTAAGTTTATATCTGAATAATTTTTTACTTTTTTTTTCCTTTTTTTATATCTGAATAATTTTTTAATTGTTCAAGTTCTGTATGTACTTAGTTCTTATGTATTCTATTTGCTTTTCCTATATTTTAATTAGTTTACACTTCCTTCATCGTCCCATTAAAAACTATCTTGTTTCATGCACATTGAAGTTTCATGATCTTTGATAATTTAAGTATTTTGTTTCAGTGATAATATAGAGTAGAAACTGGATTTATAATTTCCTTACCCAAAAATTCATCAATGAGATTTTAGAGGAAACAACAGAGGCTACAATAGTGGGGAAGCTGCTACTTTTTCCTCTTAATTTTGAAGGTAGTGATGCTGTTTTTTGAAGGTAGTGATACTGTTTTAAGGTCAGAATACACAATTGCTAGAAATTGTTGTTTTCTTTTTTGGAATTAAAGCTCTGTAGAGGGAGCTTATGCAGGAGAATTTTGGGTGGGAAGTAGCGAATGCTCAACATTCTTAGGAGAAAATCGTGATCAGTCTTCCTTCATTCCTTCCACCTCTCCAGTATCAGCCTGTCCCCCAGTTCTCTTTGAATGAATGCAGGAATGACACTCTGTTAGGCCTTTTTCTTTTCCCATTCATTTTATTTTTTGCCTTTTAATGATAAACGATTTATCCAGGATTTGCTGTGCAGATGTTTGTGGAGGAGATGGTCTAATAGAAGGATCAGATGATACCTAGCCTTAAAAACAGAGGTTGAGTTTTGTTTGCTTTGTTCCTCTTCCTTGTTGCCCTCTCCTCCCTGATCATTAGCAGTGTTCCTTTGGGCAAGTTAGTCAATGTCCCTGAATATCACTTCCACATTTGTGAACTGGTGGTAATAACTTACGGTTACATAGGATGGTACTTGGTATACTCAAAGCTCTATATCGGCATTAGTCGTTGTTAAACCAATTGCAGATACCTAACTTGGGTAGATCCCAACCATGGGAATGGGTCACTCTGCACCACATTGGCTGTGGACAGCGGCTAAGCCCCCTTTACCTGTGGGAACACTGCAGACCAGCTGACTGAGCACCCTTCTGCCCAGTCTCTACTTCTCCTTTTATGGTCTTTCATCCTTGGTGAATCTGTTTCACCGCAGGCAGTCTTTCTCATACATATACCTTCTTTTCTCTTTGATTGTACTCATAAACCAGAAGGCATCCTTAAGTGTGCCAGGTAAAGTTAATAACAGTGCTGGAGGCAGTTTTAAGTAGAATTGAAACTAAAGAAGAGTCACTGTCAAACTTCATAGCTCTTGAAAGCACCTGGAATATGCCTTCAGGGTCTCTGCAAGAATCTTTACTGAGTATCTTCTGCAGCTAGATGTATAGCATTTCAGCTGGATTCTGACTCAAATAAGCCTCTGTAGTCTGGTCCAGAAAACTAGGCAAACATTTTAACGTAGTTTTTATGGGAAAATGCATTCTAGTTTATTTATAACTGATATATATTTTGTTCATAATTGGGGAACTGCCACAAACAGTTTTTTTTCCTGATTATTTTTGACCATTTATTTTGACAGAAGGAGAGCACATAGGTGGATCTAAGTATGATTGATTATCTCTTTGTATTTTGAAACTACCACACTAATTTATGGGAAAGGAAGAGGCATATTTGGAATATTTACACACTTTAATTTTTTTAACTTAAATCTATAAGGGTGAAAAAGGATCTCTTTTGGAATTAGGATAAATTTTTCTTGAACTACTGTAAGAGACAAAGTCCCCAGATTATTTCAGCCGGCCATCTCATTATTCTAAAGAGCTGGAAGAAACAGCAAATGTGGTCATCAGATGCACTTACCTCGTGTGATTCCGTAAGGCTGGGCTGTGAAACCTGTGATTGAGGAAGTCCAGAGGGTAAGAAGGTACACCTGTCAGTAAATAGGCAAGCACATCAGTTCCTCATTGGCCCGCAGCAGTGGGCCCTCCCAGGAAGGATTGATCAGAAAGTGTCAAGCTGCTGAGTTAATTGAAAAGACATCTTTCAAAGATCTCAGTAAGAGTTTATTTAAAAATGGTTATACAAAATCAAGCAGATGTATTTTTGAAGATTAAGAAGTGGTGAAATAGTTTTAAAGCATAGTATTAAGAATATGGAGGTAAAAAATGAGAAACAGATGAAAAAAAGTTGAAATTGTTTTCTTTGGTGGGTAGGGCAGGATAATGTAGAAGACTGGTATATTTTAAGTCTTTTAAATAATACTTGTCTTTTTAAGTTATGTGCATGCTTTACTTTGATAAAAATCAACATGAAATAAAACATTCTTGTAAACAAACAAAATGTTAATATCATTTGAAGATTAGTGTATGGTAGTATTATAATAGTATCTTTATAACAACAAAAAAAAATCACCTTAAAACTCATCTTACTGTTTTGATAACATCCCTCCAAATGTTTTTCTTTTTTTTTCTTTTTTCTTTTTTTTTTAGAGACCAGGTCTTGCTAGGTTGTCCAGGTAGGTCTCAAACTCCTGACATGAGGTGATCCTCTCACCTCAGCCTCCCAGAGTACTGGGGTTACAGCCATGGGCCACCACACCCAGCCCTCTCCAAATGTTTTTCTATGTAACATATATATGTAAATAAATTTGAAATTAAGATTATTCTACACATACTCTTTTTTTACCCAGCTGTATATACTGTATATGTTATGAGTGTCTTTCTGTGCCAAAAATTCATTTGTCTTCATTTTTAATGACTGTCTAATCTTCTGCGTATGTGGATATGTCATGATTTATTTAGCCAGTCCTCTATTAGTAAATACTTAAGTTTTCTGCTTTTTTCTTTAATTGTTAACAAGTTGTTTGAATATCCTTGTACATAGTTTTGCATACTTATTTGAATATTTTTATAGGACAAAGTAAATTTCTAGGTTAACTAGTATGTACTGTTCTTAAGGTTCTTTATTGGGTTGCTGGATTGTCCTCAAGAAATGTTAGTCAGCTTCAGTCCCCATTAGGAGAGAAGAAGGTATCCATTTCTCTACCACTAACTAATGGGCGGAAACATTTATCCTTGTTGAGTTCACTGGTATTCCTTTGATTAACAGTCAATTTGAACAATTATGGATATATACATATTCAGCTGTTCATGTCTGTTGGTTATTCAAATAAGAAAAGAACATTCTTATATTAAAGATGTATTATTTAGCTGTCTCATATCGAAAATATTTTTTTCAGTTCGTCATTTTTTTCTCTTCAGTGTTGCTTCTCTTTATTAATAGTTTCTTTTTAATTTATGTGTTCAAAATTATCAACCATTTAAAAAACAATTTGCCTAGCAATCATGCCTCAAAAATTAGTTCCTTTCCCAAGATCATGGACCTGGAATGAATTGATTTTCAGAACTTAGTGGGGTGCCTGCCTCTCAAATGTTTTCCTTTTTCTTATCAGGAAAGCCATAGAAGAACTGCTTAAGGAGGCAAAACGTGGAAAAACTAGAGCTGAAACCATGGGACCCATGGGTTGGTAAGTTCTTTGAGTAATCTTCCTTAAAACTTAAGAAAAAAGTCTTAGCTAGAGATATAAATATGTAAATCTTTAGCATATAGAGGAAAGGTGAAACTATGGAAGCAGAGGAAATCACTCAGAGATGAGTGTAGAGTAAGACACTGCTGAAAACTGAATATTGAGAAACTCTAATAGCATGAAGAAATGGGCAGCGGGTGCATATGGAGGATACGCAGTGTGAGTTCACTGTCCCTTTAGTTCACAAGTATTTAGATACTACTGTGGCCAAACTCACCTGTGCGAGAGGAATATTATGTTGGTGTTTATTGTTTAAGAATTTCTAGTTTACTTATAGTCCTTAGTAAATTAAAAGTTATTTTAGGAAATTAATTTTGACTGTAAGCATTTTGATTATGTGACAATTCAGCCGTGTCGAATTAAAGATTACATTTGCAGATTATGTACAAAATAGAGCTTGTTAAAGCTTAATAATTCATTGGCCATTGGTGATCAATTTTATTAAAAAAATTTTTTTAAAAACCTTAATATAGGCTGGGAACAATGGCTCATGCCTGTTGTCCCAGCACCTTGGGAGGCCAAGGCAGGAGGATTGTTTGAGCCCAGGAGTTCGAGACTAGCCTGGGCAACAAAGTGAGACTCCATCTCTACCGAAAAAAAGAAAAAAAAGACTGACTTCTACTCTTATAGGCACTACTTTAGTGATGCCATTTGCATTTGATAAATATGCTGAATTTGGATTTTTTTTTTTTTTGAGACGGAGTTTCACTTTTGTTTCCCAGACTGGAGTGCAATAGCATGATCTCAGCTCACCACAATCTCTGCCTCCCAGGTTCGAGCAATTCTCCTGCCTCAGCCCCCTGAGTAGCTGGGATTACAGGCATGTGCCACCATGCCTGGCTTATTTTGTATTTTTAGTAGTGATGGGGTTTCTCCTTGTTGGTCTGGCTGGTCTCAAACTCCCAACCTCAGGTGATCCACCCACTGCAGCACCCCAAAGTGTTGGGATTACAGGTGTGAGCCACTGCGCCTGGCGGAATTTTTTATCTACAGTTAAAAATGTACTGCAATGGAATAAGGTAGGTCATTAAAAAGAGTAAAATGTAAAAATGTGATGAGAGTAGAAGCTAGACTTCTAAACATAGCTCATTTTATAAGTTTGACTTTTAGAACCATGCACATGGTTTACCTAAAATACAAAACAAAAATTAAAATAGAGGAGAAAGATAATACCTAAAAATCAAGCAAAATAAAACATTGACCTAATAAGCCATTGAGTAGATGACTTAGCTACATAGAAACTATTTCAAGTGATCTAGAATTTGACTATATTTCCAAAAGATAAAAAATTACTACAAAAAAATTGTTTTCAGTCATCATACTGTTAGTAATAATACCAGTATTGCTATTCTGAAAATATTATATATAGGATAAAATAAGCGGTACTTTCTATATATAAACACCAAGGCTTTCCATGTTAAAAAGCTACAAATATAAAATCCAAGAAATATAAACCTACCTATAATCCTAAATTTGAATTGGAAACATCAGTATGAGGTTGTACTAGATTTTCTCTTAAAAAAGAGAGGGAGAGAGAAAAGTTTTTTCTAGCTCTGTTCACAGAAAAGGCTTAGAAACAATGACCCAATAGCAGTGAGCACCCCTGGTGCCAAAATTGTGTTATGTAAATATCATTTCTCACTGAAAGGGACAGGGATCCTTAGAGTAAGAACTGATTGCCAACCTGCAGGAAGTGCCCAGGTTTAGCCAAGCTGCAAAGTTAGAGGTCACAGTCCCCAAGAATATTCTCACTTCTTACACCAACTGCAAGTTCAGAGGATTCTCCCAAACTACCACCGTTAGCTTCAGTAATTCGCTGGAAGAACTCACACAATTCATGAAAATCTGTTATACTTGTGGTTAGTTTATTACAGGGAAAAGATACAAACTAAAATCCGCCAAAATAAAACAGAAAGATCTGAGTCTGGGAGGAGTCCAAATGTGAAGCCACTGTCGTCCTGTGCTCCATGGAGTCAGGACATGCTACCCTTCCAGCATTGGTGTGTGGTAAAAGGCATGGAATATTGCCAAGCAAGGACGCTCACCTGAGCTTCAGCATTCAACGTTTTTATTGGGGCTTCATTACATAGGTTTGATTGATGGGTGGATGGATGGACGGATTACGTGACTGATCTCAGTTTCCAGATTGACTGATAATCATATAACCCACAGCTCTCACCCTAAGTCACATGGTTAGTCTTTCTGGTGTGGCCAGCTCCACCCTAAACAAAGACATTTCTATCAGATGTGACATAGATTACTTTCTGGAAGCTAAGGCAAAGGCCAGCACTCTCTTTGGGCCAGACCAGACTTTTCACTACATGGCAGGAAATGTATAAGAGAAGCTGGAAAATCTTGTCATACCAGAAAGCAAAGAAACTGTCAAAGACCAATATATTCACATCAGAAAGACTCAAGACCCACTTGAAAGGTTTCCCACTAGTCAAAGATGAGATAATTTGATTTAAAAAACAAATTATTAAAACACCTAAAATGTGTTAAAATCTATAAGGTCATAGTGATAATCATAATGAGAAACCTGGTAGTCCCTTTTATAGGATGCTAGGGAACCAAATCACTATTCACAAAACTGATAGATAGGAAGAAGTAAGCATTTATTACCCTGTTCCCTGTACAAATGATACTTCAAAGTCACTAATTAATTGATGAAAGAAAACTTTACAGAAGAATTGTAACTAATACATATAGAAGGATTATAGAATAATATTATCATCATTTGAGTTTCAACACATTCTTCAATCCTCATACCACAAAAAAGATTCAAGAAGATCAAACCACCATCTCTGGGGCATTCTTGTCAAAAAATTGAACCTGAATCTGATCAAGTCTCTAGTTAGAAATATTAGTTTGCAAGAAATACAGAGGGCAGAGGAACATGTTAAATGACACCATAAGGCTGCAATCACAAAAATCCAAAATGTGAGAAATTCTACAGGACAAAGAACTCAGTTTCTTTAACAAATGCATTACAAGGAGAAAAGAAAGAGGAATATCCTATGAATTAATAGATTTGAGGAACATCAAATAAAATGGGTACCTTGTTTGGATCTTTATCCAAATTAACTGTAAAAAGTCATGAAACAATTGAGGGTATTTGATGATAATAAGGAACTGATGTTGATTTTTTTAGATGTGATAGTATTGCTGTTATTTTAATTTTTTTTTTTTTTTTAGACGGAGTTTCACTCATGTTACCCAGGCTGGAGTGCAATGGCGCGATCTCGGCTCACCGCAACCTCCGCCTCCTGGATTCAGGCAATTCTCCTGCCTCAGCCTCCTGAGTAGCTGGGATTACAGGCACGCACCACCATGCCCAGCTAATTTTTTGTATTTTTAGTAGAGACAGGGTTTCACCATGTTGACCAGGATGGTCTCGATCTCTTGACCTCGTGATCTACCCGCCTCGGCCTCCCAAAGTGCTGGGATTACAGGCTTGAGCCACCGCGCCCGGCCTGTTAATTTTAATTTTTAAAAGCCATGATCTTTTAGAAATACATTGTGATATATTTATGGATGAAATTATATAATGAAATAATCTAATGTGAATGAGTCAATCTGTCTACCATGTGTAATCATCTTAGCTTCAGTAATCTATCTAGTAAATAACAGATATATTATTTTGAAGTGAATACTTTTAAAAAATGCTCAGGTTTAATTTTGAATATTTATATTAATAGATATAACCCACATAAACAAAAGCTCTCTGGGGTATCCTCATATTTAGGAGTGTGAGTGTCAAATACCCTCAGACCACAAAGTTTAAGAACCACTATTACAAGACAATTGAAAAAAATATTTTTCTTGTCTTATAGACTCATGGGAAAGTGGGAGGGTGGTTGTGAAAATCTGGTGAGATAATGTGTATGAAAACACCCAACACAGTTCCTGGCACGTAGCAGCTAGTTAGTAAATATTAGTTAAATCTGCTCTTCTTTCCAGCCCTCCTCTGTCCTTTACAGAAATAAGGTGCCTCACTATTATAAGTCAGATTAGTACAAACTTTTTAGGCACAGGTTGCTTTGGTTTTGGATACAAGGCTGGACCTTCATCAGGATGACAGTAGTCACTGGTCTAATCTAATACCTATTAGAAAGACTTAGCATAGGGCTAAAATCATGCAGTTGATAAGTGAGTAGAAAATATCAATCATAGTTGTTGCTCTGTAAGAAGCATTCAAGGGAATTGGTTGCTTCTAGCCAGCTCTCCAGATAGATGTTATTTATCCTAGCAACTTTAGTACCACTTATTGGCTTAGTAAAACTTTCTGATAGTGAAAGAACTAGCCTATCAATGCTAGTTCTGCTCTCCCTGGGGGAAGTTACCGTGTGTACCAGACTGTCTTGAGATTTGTGTGGACGTTGATGTACTCTTCGGGAATAACAGCAGTTAGGTTGGCAGTTCCAGGAGTTACTGGAAGGACCAGGCTCTTTCCAGTTTTCCAAATCTCCCAATCATGGGGCGTGACTCTTTTCTGCATAGTCTAATACAGTAACAGACATTGAGTCCACATTTCAATTAGCAGAAAGGAAGAAGAAAAAGAAGGAACACCTCTTCCCTTTAAGAAAATTTGCCATGGCCGGGTGTGGTGGCCTACACTTGTAATCCCAACACTTTGGGAGGCTGAGGCAGACGAATTACTTGAGGTCGGGAGTTTGGGACCAGCCTGGCCAATGTAGCTAAACCCTGTCTCTGCTAAAAAAAAAAAAAAGAAAAAAAAAAAAAAAGAAAAATTAGCCAGGCATGCTGGCATGCATCTGTAATCCCAGCTACTCGGGAGAAAACAAAAAAGAAAAGAAAACTTGCCAGAAGTTGCATGTACTATTTCTTTCTTTCTTTTTTTTTTTTGAGACAGAGTGTCACTCTGTCACCCAGGCTGGAGTGCAGTGGCGTGATCTCGGCTCACTGCAACTTCCACCTCT